ATTTGTATATTTGTGCACAAATACTTTTTTTTTTTAGTAATTTGAATTTAGTCATTAATTTGGACCTTCCGATGATTTGTCGAAATTGCAGTGGATCATTAAAAATGTGGTTTCGCTTGGCTTAATAATTCCCCATTTAATGCTTGTGTAGGTTCTGAGTAACCCAACCAGTTAATTTAACTAGAATCAAGGTCTTAGATAATATTTTGTGAAATTGGTTATTATTCACAGATGGGGATGGTGTTCTAGGCAGAGATTCCCTCCCCTCATCATTTTCAGCTTCTGCGCAATCATCATCAGCGGACCTTATCAACGGGCTTCCTCTGCTTCATCAATTAAAATGCTTTCAATTCGCTCAATTCCATTTGACCATGATATTTGTTACAGCTTTGAAAACATCTAAACACTGTATTGCATATTACCGTTTTGATTATCGTTTCTGTTTTATATTCTTTTTTTTTTTAAACCATTATCGTCCATGCATATAAATGTGCTTGTAATTATCGAAAGCCAACCATAGCGCAAATATAATTATAGATACTACACAAAATATATAAAAATAAATTGATGTGCATGCCACACAGCAGAACGATAAAGTTAAAAACGAAATGAAAACCCACAAAGTATATAAAAAAGAACATATTCAATAATCACGAACAGTTGTTTTTGTTGTTGTCCCCACTTAAAGCGTGCGATTAGCAATAATAGCAGTACGAAAAGCGAGTACTTCTAAAACGCGTGTAATTTGAACTATCCAACAGCATTCCCACAAAACCAATGAAAACTCTCAACCGAACTCAACTCAAATGTGATAATCCCAAGCGAGCAAAGCAGTTAAAATATGTTGTGATAAAACTACGCAAGTAATGACTAAAATAAAATAGAGAAGCCGAAAAGTTATTAATCAAAACGAAACGACTGAAAACCAAAACAAAAAAAAACAAAACAAATGCAACACATCGCCAGGCAGCAGCATCAGAATCATCTCAAAAGATCGCCGTCCTGTCATCGTGCCAAGCTTCAAGTATTATAGAACCAACTCTGAACTCAGAACTCAACACTCAACTCAACAGCTGAATGGTAAAAAAGCCTTGGCATTGTTTTCTAAATGTCTTCCATAGCATTTCTGGATGTTGTGTAACTATCGTCATTAACAAACGCCATCCTACATGGACACACTCTATCTATATCGCCATAGCACTCACATACCACTCTCTATCAATGTCTCTAAATGAATGTGTATCCCGAGTAAAAGAGGGTTAAGTTCCATCCAAGACAGAGGCTGCCAGTCATCCAGTCGACAATACAATCAATACCTTTGCTGAAGCTTGCTGCTGCCGCTTTCTCTGTCTCTGTCTGTCTCTCACTCCTTCTATATATATCTATATATTCTGTATATCAGTTGCATCGTAATTGTTGTTGTTGTTATCGTACAAACTATATCTAACCAGAAACCATCAAGAAACCAAGGCCACGCACCAACAGAACAACACTAAAATCGCCATCCAAGAACACCAATATCTAATCAATATCCAACGTCAGCTATCGTCAGCCAAATCGAATTAATTCAAGTCATCCGGAAGTCGAGCGACCTACTAAACCACTGCGAAGTCACCACTCTATCAACCCGATCTATATATCTCTATATGTTAACTTACAACCACCGCATCATCATGAAGAGCATTATCCCAAAACAAACAAATTAAATCAAAAAAAAAAAAAAAAAAAAGCTACAAATGCACAGTCCAATGCCTTACAAACTGCCATTAAACTCGATGTATCAATAATGAATATGCAATTCAGATATCGATGGAATGCCAGGGGGAGAGAGACAGAATGAAGGTCCTTGAAATGCTCTATCTCTCTCCCGCTCGCCACCAAATCCATGCGTGTGTGTGATCAGCAATAAAAAAACAAATAGAAAAACCTATGAAAAGCCAGCCTAATTTAAACAAATTTTCCATTTCTTTTTCTTTCGTTTATTGAACAAGTTTAATGATTGGAAAGCGGCGCGTAGGTTAAAACGAATCACAGCAACCGCAACAAATCTTGTCAAACGAGGCACAAAATTACAAATTACAACAAAAAATTAATAAATCAATAACGCATAAGTCAGTTGAATAAGGAACGCGTACAATCGATTCAAGGCAGAATCAATTCCGTGGCAAGCAAACTGAAGACTGAACGGGAACGGCAACAATTCCAAGGCAATGGAGAGTATTATGAAGATGGAAATGGACAGGGCGGCCGAGCAGCTGATTCAGCAATTTGGCTTCGATTACTTACAGCAGCAGCTGCAGCTGCAACAGCATCAGCAGCAGCAACAGCAGCAACAGCAACAGCAGCAACAGCAGCAACAGCAGCAGCAGCAACAGCAGCAGCAGCAACATGAACAAGAACCACAATATGAACATCTTACATACCGATTTCAACAATCAGAGCCCACACATATGCAGCAATTAGCTTGTAACTATCAGCCACGACATTCCACAACCACGTCGTCGCCCTCATCAACACATTCGCTGGCCAGCGGCAGCAGCAGCGTCAGCAGCAGCAGCAGCAGCAACATCAGCAACATCAGCAACATCAGCAACATCGACAACATCAGCAACATCAGCAGACACAGCAATCATAGAAGCGCTGCATACTCATTAGCCGTTCATAGCTATAATCAGCAAGAAAGCCCGGCTAATCCCAACCATGTTCCACCTCATCAGATGGATCAATCGCCCCTGAGTGAGAATGGTTCGCCGAATGCGACGCCAGGTGCCCAAACGCCGCCTGCAACATCAAGTGGCCCGGCGGCAACATCCACAACGCCTGGACAACAACTGCTCGGCAACTTTAAGACTAACTCCTGCTGGTGTTACGGTGAGTCTGATTAAGAACAAAACGCAATCAACATCAGCATAGAACTATCTAAAGTTGCGCACAACTTCCTCTACTACACCATACATAAAATGTACACCACTTCTCTATCTATAACTATCGAGCTCGCTACAACCAACCAACCAACCAACCAGCCAACAACAGCATCAATCACCACGTCGCCTCATTCTAAATGCCGCCAGCAACTTGAACCAAAAAAAAAAAAGAAAAAGAAAAAGAAAAAAAGACCAAAAAAAGAATAAAACAAGATCCCCAATATGTCAAACGAACCAAACGCCGGACAAGAAGCCACAAGCTATAAATGAATTATCCATTAACATTGCGTTGAAAGTTTTGAAAGAAAATAATCCAAACATCACCAACATCCAGCACACATTCTGATACACAAAATAAAACAACAACAAACACTCATAGAAAACTCAGCAGCCAAACAGAAACAACAACAACCAGCCAGCAAAAACAGCCACAATCGACTATATAAAATCTCATATGCTAATCGTACGCTTTAATGTGGGCGTCCATTTCAATTTTGAATGTGCCTTAAAATATTATGTCTTATGTATACGCCACTTTCCTTCAGCATGCCCTAGTGATTCATGAGTGTTGCATAAAGATTTGCGATTGGGATTTTTGTTTTAAAAGGGAACCAGCTTGTGAGATATAATAGCTTGGGTTTTCATGTTTCAGATTATATATGTTTGCTGCTAACACCTCCTGATAGCATTTAAACAAGTCGAAAAACAAATTTAAATTATGTTGTAAAGAGCATTTTGCGCACTTCCTTACTCAGGAATATATATGGGAAGTTGTCCCTCGCAGGATCCAATCATTTAATCGCGTGCCACATGTCCCCGCATTACGCATACGTCGCGTGGTACGCGACAAGCACTTGCTGCGCGGGCTTTGCTTTAACAATTTGCGTGTTGCAGATTGCTCGATGGCATTTATTGTGGTTTGGGGTTGGGAATGGCATGGTAGCTGTGTGCCAGCTTGTCGTTAGCCTAGTTTCCCTTCCAATCCTGCACACAATGCATACGAAATTAGTCTCCAGTCTGCCTAGTGCCACCCCCGCCCCCAGGCCACGCCCACTTGCAGCTCAATGGGCGGTCTGGGCAATGTGCTGCAAGTGTTATTTATGACAGTCACATAATTTAAGCTGCTGCACAGTGTCAACAGCAACGCAGCTTCGGAGCGTTCTTGGCCGGTCCTTTGTGGCCCATAAAACGCTAAGCAAATGGCTTTGTTGTTGTTCCTGCCTGCATATTATTTACCAAGCTTCTCTTTATTTACGAGTATTTCCCATTGCCGCAGGAATTTATAGTTTTAGCGGATGGGAATTTTACGAATTTTATTCCTACGGATAAATGATAGATAACTGACAGATGCGTCCGGCGCACTTTCAATTATTTCAGTGGCGGAAATTGGCCAGCATGGTGCTAAATAATATGTGGGCTGATTCGCGGATATCAACTAATTTCGCTTTCGTTGCTCACGCTCTCTGCACATTGCGAATTCTTTGCAAATCGCATTTTCGCACATGCATGCCAAGCAGGGCAAATGGTCCAATATTCTGCCTCCCGCATCCAATCCCCCTTCCCAATGTCAGTGCATCCGTGGCACATGTGTGTGTGCGCTGTATCTAATTAGAGAAATACTTTTGAAGGACACTCGGCCGTTGAGTGGCAACGAGACCAAGACGACGACATACATTTCAGTAGTTTCAGGGGGAGAGCGGCTAAATTTAAACAAAGCGAGTGCCAAGTGGCAGCGGCAGAAGTCTTGGGCTTCTGCCCCCCAAGTCACCATGCCACCATGCCACCAAGTTGCAGCCAGTCAGGTGCAACGCGCTTAGATCATTCCGTTCTGTTGTGCAATAGAGCGTCTCCGCTTGACACATTTTATTAATTGAAATTTGTTTGTTTACTACTGGCGGTCGACTGTCGACTGCAGATGATATCATTCACTCGCAGGGAGGAGGTTCCACTGCATCTCCATGATCCGCCACCTTCACCTCATCTAGCCGTGTAATGCATGTTGCCCAGCTGGCTTAGTGCCTCCCTCCAATCCCCAATCTTATAATCATTGTTTCCGTTTTTCTCTTTCCATTTCAGGTGAGTCAGTTTGTTCTGGAATTGAGGTTGAAATTGAAAATAATAACAATAATCATATTCATCATGGTAAGCTTTGTCACACTTTCATTAAATACCATTAAATCCATCTTTGTCTAGCCAAAAGATCGACTAATTCAAGATTAATACCGACTAAAGCGTAGCCCAATTGTTTTCTCTGTATTTTGTAACTGTAACAACATCGCTGTCTGTTTTTTTTTTCGCTGCCGAAAGCGCGCTTTTTGAGCCTGACTTTGGACGGCAAACGAAAACTGATTGTGTGACCCGACGGACCACCGAGCACATTAACCTTCGACCCTTTGACCGACTTTTGCTTTGACTTACATTTTCCACAAATTATTCGTATTTATTTCGTTTGCTTTGCGGGTTGCCCAAGCGGGCAGAGTAGATGGTAATTTCGGGGGCTCTCGTTTTGTTTGTTTTTTTTTTGTGTTTATTTTATTTTTTATTTTTGGCCAAGCCAACGACCCTCGGAGGAGAAGTAAACGGTCTTTCATGTGTTTCGTGTGTCGCCAGCATTGTCCGTTCCATCTCATCTCGAGCGCATATCTCCTCATGGCTTGCCCACCACAAAACCACAGAAACAGACCACAGTCGAACACCACGCCGCACCGCCATAACCAAAACCATGTCCACACACAGCAGTAAACCACTAAACCGCATCCAAATCGATGCCTCTATCTCGAAACTGTAACCAAACTAACCAATTTCATGCCGAACTCCACGAACGTCCCTCGTTGCGAGCGTCCAGCCGAACGAACAAACGATCGACGCTGAAGTGCTGTTATTATTTTTAATTTGTAACCTGCCGAATGAGCTAGAAACTAGATCTAACCAGCAATAACAACCAGATAACTAGATTGTATGCAACAGCCAAGGGCACACAGACTAACCTGTAACCTAGTACAAGAACCCCTAATCTAATCTGACCAAAAAAACCAAACCAAACCCCAGAGATTCCCCCGAGACTAATCCATTGGTCGTCCTGTGAACTCCTCTCGATTCTCTGTTTGCAGGCGAGACAACGTACCACATGAAAATACTGGTGCCCGCGGTGGCCTCCGGGGCCATCATCGGCAAAGGGGGCGAGACGATCGCCTCCCTGCAGAAGGACACGGGTGCTAGGGTGAAGATGTCCAAGTCCCACGACTTTTACCCAGGTGAGTCATGAAATCTTATCTCAATCGAAAACAAGGCTAAAACCCCGACTATTTCACAGGCACCACCGAACGAGTGTGCCTAATCACCGGATCCACGGAGGCCATCATGGTCGTGCTCGAGTTCATCATGGACAAGATCCGCGAGAAGCCTGACCTGACCAACAAGATCGTCGATGCCGAGTCAAAACAGACCCAGGAGCGGGACAAGCAGGTCAAGATCCTGGTGCCCAACTCCACGGCCGGCATGATCATCGGCAAGGGCGGCGCCTTCATCAAACAGATCAAGGAGGAGAGCGGCTCCTACGTCCAGATCTCGCAGAAGCCCAAGGATGTCTCGCTGCAGGAGCGCTGCATCACGATCATCGGCGACAAGGAGAACAACAAGAACGCCTGCAAGATGATCCTCTCGAAGATCGTCGAGGATCCCCAGTCGGGCACATGCCTGAACGTCTCCTACGCGGACGTCAGCGGCCCGGTGGCCAACTTCAATCCGACCGGCTCCCCGTACGCCACCAACCAGAATGCCATCAACTCGAGCACCGCCTCGCTAAACTCCACGCTGGGCACCACGATCGGCGGCGCCAACTCGGCGGCCAGCCTGCTAGTCAACGGCACCGGCATCAACTTGTCCATCAACCTGGGCTCCCCCAATCCGGCGCCCAACCTAGCGGTTGCCACTCAGCTGCTCGAGCATATTAAGGTTAGACGTCGCTGCTTTTAGGGCTTGGAGTGCAGAGTACAAAGTCCCTTATTATTTGGTTATTTAAACTGTAAGGTAAATTGTAGGGATTCAACAGTTTCTTGGCACATTTCAAAGGTTATAGTTTTTCTTTTTTATTCAATCAAAACAAACTTGCGGTTTGAAGTAGCGATGTATAAAAGTGTAGTTTAAGAAAGGGGGGTTTTGAATTTTGATTTTATTTCCCAGAAGTAAAAGAGGTAGAACAGTAAAGTGACATTCCTTTTTTATTATTTGCCATCGATTTGAGAGATAATAATATAGATTTTCATTGTTAAAATAGATAATTGTTTGGTTCTTTAAAGTTTAAACAGTATAGAAGTTTCAACAGTATAGATAATGACTGTCAGACCAACAATGTTTTGATATACTTGCAATTCTAGTAAAGTGCTAATGAAGCCTGATTGGTAACTTTATTTTGATGCTGTAAACGTGGCGCATACTTAATATGTGTGTTTGTACTATCCCCGCAGTTTTAGTAAAGTGTTAGTGAAGCCTGATCTTCAGCAGAATCAGTTAAAGGGGACTTTGTTTTGCTTTGTATCCTATTTTGATGCTGTAAACGTGGCGTATACTTAATATGTGTTTTGCACCATCCCCTTAGGTTGCCATGCGCGGTTCTGGTTACTCGGAGACCGTCACGAACGAAGTCGTCTCCGCCCTGGGAGTGCTGGCCAAGTACGGAGTCCTCGGAATGGGCGTGGGCGTGCCCCACACCAACGGCGCCCACTCCACGCTGGGCAACTTCCTCGGCGTGACGACGCTGGACCAGCAGACTGCGGCCGCCGCGTCCGCGGCCACCGCCAGCAATGTGTTCGGTGCCGTCGGCCAGGTGAACCTGGAGCAGTATGCCGCCGCAGCGGCCGCTGCAGCTGCCGCAAGCAGGCCGACGCAGTCGCAACTGGACGCTGCCGCGGTGCAATTCGATCCATTCCGCCATTTGGGCTCGGCCACGGCGCCGGGCGCCACGCCCGTCTCGCTGAACAACAACAGTTTCGGGCTGACGGCAGCCACGGGAACGGCGACCACGGCGCAGCTGGGCGGACTCAGCAAGAGCCCCACTCCGGGCGACCTCAGCTCCAAGGACTCGAAGAACGTCGAGGTGCCGGAAGTGATTATCGGCGCTATTCTAGGTGCGCGTCCATACTATTATCCCTACTAAATTGCAAAAAAGAACCAACCAACAGAGAACCAACAACACCGCAATTTTCTTTAGCCTGTTCCCTAACCACCCAACCCCCCCGTTTGATCCCTAGCACCTGTGAAAATTCTGGAGGATAAAGAGTTCCCCATCCCATTTTTGATTAGCCATCGAGCCATTAGACATAGAGATATAGCCAACCAGGCACAGGCACTTCATTTCCGACTCATTCCAGAGAGAGCGATCGATTGATCGAGTTAATCTATTCTATGCATACACAACATTCCGTTAGACATTCTCAAAGGTTTTCCTAATAAATTCATTGAAACTTATAGCGAAATTTCTAGTCAAGTTCTTGCCTCACACCTATCCACCGCCACATATGATCCATGATCCATGATCCATGATCCCTTCGATTCCAGTTCCACCTTGAACACGATCAGTCCCCGGAAAACCCACTGAAAATTCGCACAGAACAGCAGCATCCGTTAGCTTAAGAGAGAAGTAGCTTTAGCAGTTAGGTTGTAGGTCTAAACACATTCACTTTCCCATTTTGTTAATGCTTAAAAACGAATTTTTTCGATATACTTACGTTTAGCTGGGCGGATCGATGTGATTGCCCAGTTGGCTAGTGCAATTATTGGGTAAAATATTATTACATTGTTGGATTTACATTCGTTGTTGCGCAGTTAATTTTACCTCAGTGTCAGTTGTAAGGTCGTTAGGTCATTAGGTTAGGCACTCTGACCCCTTTGCAGCGTATCGACTTTCGTTCTTTGGTTTGTTTTTATTTTCACGGCGTCCTTAACACCTTACCGCTATATACACGCCCAATACACACACAATATGCTATATATATACTACTATTATACCCACATATATTATCCATACTATCATTTACTATCTTTAAAAATATTTAATATAAATCTGATGCAAATATTCCAGGTCCGAACGGTCGTAGTTTAGTTGAAATTCAACATGTTTCTGGCGCAAATGTGCAAATTTCCAAAAAGGGCATATTCGCACCTGGCACTAGAAATCGCATTGTAACCATAACTGGTCAGCCGAGTGCCATTGCCAAAGCGCAATATCTAATTGAACAGAAAATCAACGAGGAGGAGACAAAGAGGGCGCGACAAATTCCATTAACCACTGTTGTGAATTAAAAAATCCGAGTAATGCAACCAACCAGCTATCTTAACAGAACAACAAACAAACAGGCAAAAAGCAAAACAACATACTACCCCACTCCCCCCAATCCCAAAAAAAAAAAAAACACTCACACAAGCAAGTTTTTCGTCTAAAATTTGTTAATTTCTTAAAAGAGAAAAACGAAGATCATAAAAAACCAAACCTAAAAAAATACAAGAAGGGAAAACAAAAAAGGAAACACCAATTGTTATGCGTGCAGCTAAAAGTTAAGCAATTAAGAAATAATAATTACGTATTGCAAGATCCAAACACTTTTTGAGTAAACTGTTCCACGGCCTTCACCTCAAGAGATTTGCTTTAACTAAAAACCCCTTTAAGAAAGAAAGAAAAACCAAATGAACAATAGTAAAAATTTGTATAAACACTACGTACTAACTTCTACTATTATTAATTGTTGCATTTTTTTGTCACGCTCGAAACGTTAAAATTGAAAACAAGTTATATTGCCTATTGCCAGTTTAAGACACAAACTAGTTGCGAAAGAAAAGAGTTTGTGTTTTGTTTGTTTGTGATGCGTATGTTTTGCGTTGCGTGTTTTGTTTTTGGTACTCCCGACCAAGCTATACGATACGATATACATGGGGCATATATACATATGTATATGTACACAGTTGTTGAGTCTTGTTTATATATTATCTACCCACATATGCCCATACATATATATATATACATATGCCACCACCGCCCACTTACACACACACCCCCCACACACCTAATTATTAGCATTATGTTGAGCTAAACCGATAAAATGTATAATGAGCGAGCGTTTTCAGTGAAAACTTCAGGTGATTCTTACCCTCGAAATAAGGTAAATATTTTACTACACCCCCCCGAACACAACAACAACAACAACAAAAACACTTGCTATTTACAACTACAACAGGCTAGTGAAAAATACAATTGCAAAACTAAACAAGAAACAAAAAACCAAACAAAAAGAGTGAATTTATTGACATTTTTGTGATTTCGTTAAACTTTTCTGTTTTATCTGTTCTCTGTTGTTGCCCCCTCCATAATTGCTTATCGCTGTTAATATATATATATAGCTATATATATACACCCACGATTCTGCAGCCCGACCTCTGTAAATGAACAGTTGATGTTGATCATGATAATGTTGTTTAGTTTTAGAGACGATCCGATCGGATCGAGTGGTGTTAATGTGTTGCGCGCGCACGTGAGTCTCCTTTTGGTTTTGATTTTGTGCTCCCGATTTGTTACTCCTTATATCTTTTGTTTATTATATATTATTTATGAAAAAAAAAACACATTGCGATTTGTTAGTTGCCAGTCTGAGAACTGCACTCCTTACTTTTTTTTGTCATTTTGCGTTTGTTAACCACATTCTTTGGTAAATTTAGCACATTTGTTTCTTACATCCTAATTTTAAGTCTTACATTTTCTCTCACCTAATGCATCACAAAAATATATTAAAAACGATTAAGAGGAAAACATAAAAAAAACCTTAGCAAACAATTGATTCTTTGTAAAATATTCACATTTATGCATTCATTTAGGGGTCTCTTCATAAGACAAACAATCCACCAAACAATTTCCCTTGTTAATTTTAAGTATTGTGCAATTATTAAACATTATTTCAACCAACATTTCACGACAATTGTATGTACATATCTATCTAGAAACGCAGTGTAAAGACAAAAGATGTTAACATCACATTTAAAATTTTCCCTAAATCATATACACCCAACACACACACACACCAGGACAAAAGTACCCATACGAACACCACTCACCTACAGAGAGAGAAATGCTTTACTTGTAATGAAATTTTTCTTATTTACTTTATTCCTTACACATATAATTTAGTTTAACATTTCTTTTCGATTGATAAACAAAGATGAAACGAAATTTAAATAAAATTTGATTACAAAAACCAACAATAAAAAACCTGTAACGTTTATTTCGTGTTTAATTTGGAGCGCTCCACCGCGCACCACCACCACCCCCCCGCCCCCATTGCCCACCCATCAACCACCCACAAGCGCCGCACCACCACTAACCCAAACGAATCCCAAAACCAAATCAGTCTATAACATTATCATGATCAACCAAAATCAACCAAAATCAACTAAATCAGCCAGTCAGTCAGCAATCAGTCAACCACTTTGCTCAGTTCGATTTCGACTTCGATTTCTATTTCGATTCAATCACTGAAAACGCTCATCACCGTAGTGAAAAACAAAAGAAAAGTAACAAACAAACCACAACGGCAAACCAATCCTAAGCTAAGTCTATATATTTAAGTTGAAAGTTGTTCTTATTAATTTTTGCTATTATTGTTAAAACTTACCTACAATTGTTCTTATTTGTGCAATATTTATATAATACGATTAAAATACAAATCAAATGAAAAACAGAAGATAATTATAACAAAATGAAGAAGTTCTATAAGCAAACTAATGAGAAATATGGAAACAAAAAGAGAGAAAATTTGAAAGTACAGTCGTAAATGCTAGTGTGCCTTGAAATATGCATTAACATCCAAAAGAAAAACAAAACGAAAACGTAAGGGGAAGGAATAAGGATGACGATGATGTTGGTGTTTTATTTAGACATATTATTTAATGAGTATCATAACGAAGAAATCCAGAGATCAGGACATGCAATAGACCGTCTCAGAACAGCAGAATTCCACAGTAACAACTTTGAAACGTAGCTTAACAAACAACAACAGCCAAAATCACAACAAGCATAAAAACACAGATCCCCTTCGTCCACCCCACAAAAACCAGTCAACCAATCAATCAGCCAATCAGTCAACCAATCAACCAATCAACCTACCAATCCAACAACAAACGAACATTTATTTCGTCTTCTTCGCCTTACGTCAGAATTGGGAGAGCTACGAACGCCATTCAGAGCCCCCAGAATCGAAGCACTATATAGGCTTTACTCCATCTATCACAGACACAGACACACCGACTCACAATCCCCTACATACGCCCACATGAAACACACATGACACACACCCGAAACACACCTGAGAAACACCTCTCCCATACGTTCACACATTCGTACTAAATATCAGTATCACTTGCGCGTGCTCACTGAGTTATGTTTAATGTATGAGTTTTATATGATATCTAAACATAGTAGAGGAAGGAAGAAGAAATAAACACAAATATATATACTTATATTTGTACTGGATCTGTGATATGTATTTAAAAAAAACAAAAAAAAAAAACAACAAAACAAAGGAAAAATATATTTATTAAAAGAAGAGAAGTCAAACGATACTTGAAATTAATTATGAAATAATTAATTTTTTAATGAGACAACTAAGAGAAAAGAAAAGCTTTACTTGAAAAGCAAACGAAATCTCCCCCAAAATCAAGTTCTCAATTCATCGATGCATGGAGTCAGAATCCCCGCCCCAAAGTGCATACGTATTCACTGCAAGAAGTCTTTGCCAATTCGATTCGATTCGAACTCCTTTTCACAGAAGTGTCCGATTTGTGATCCATCAACACAGCTCCTCGAGGCTGAGAGGGCGTGGCGAAGGGAGAAGGTCGGGGTCCTCGATTGGGAACCCTTGGGATAAAGAGGTCAGATCCGATCCCATCGGTTCAGGAGTAGCCCGCGTTTTATGCTTGTTTGGATTTTATTGTTTGAATGCGTTTGTTATTTGCTGTACAAATCGAAGCTTTACGCAACCCACATTCCCGAAAAGTAAAGTGGGAGGCCTTAGATCCAAGTTGCACCATTAGCGAAGCCGCATGATTGCTTTGTGCTCACCATCTGTATACAACTGTTACCCACAAAATGCACCTATCAGGCACATTTCACCCTATCGCTATGTCCACCCCCCCTCCCCAAAACACCAACTATATCCACTGCAATCATAAGAAATCATAGGAAACTTTGGAAGGAAGTGCCCATTAAGTTCGCTTCACCAGTACACACACGAGTTCAGGAGTTTTATTAATTTATTGAAAGGCATCTATAACAATAACAATGGAGGAGGAAAGGATGGATAGATCGTAGAGAAAAGAAAAGTAATACAGCTGTTATTTCAACGACGGAGTCTATTAGTGTTAAAGTAGTAAACATAAAAGCAACTTTTATTAACTATATACATACAATACATAAATATCTAAAGTAATTCAAACTCAACTTTGAACATTTAATGAAAAAAAACCCAACAAGAACAACAAATAAAGCGAAGTGGCAGCGAGTTTGCTCTTCGAAATCCGTATGTTGCTAAAATACAAATATGTAAAGAGGAGTTCAATTTATCAATCAAATCTCGTATAGTGCATACATATATTACATACATACATAACTACATACTTAAAGCGAAAAATGAAAAATGAACGAAATGAAATGAAAGTAATTTTAACTATTATTTGTTATGCTTTGCCACCCACACTGTTATTAGAACAATTAAACATTACGATGCGCAATGCATTATATATAAATGTACACACCTCCATATGCATTATATATACTAAATCGTAAACGTAAACAGAAGAGCAGAATTTGTTTGAAGGCACCTGCATTATGGATAGGTCGGATAATCGGAGAACTAACTGAATCATTATATAACCTCATATAGCATTGTATGTATAAATCTATCGGATTGGACGTTCATTCAGCAACCACAACAGAAGCATACATTAGTAAAATATTAAATACTATATATATATACATACACTAAAAGTATAAAGCGTAGTCGTTAGTGTGATAAATTAATATAATATTAATTAATTCGAGCAAATAAAAGCGGTTTAACGATTGAAATCCAAAGAGGGCCGTGCAGGGCCCCACTTTCCAAAACTAAAACTCAAAAACTAAAACTAAAGCATCGAAGAGTGCAGCTCGGCACGGACCCCAAACATTATTTATTTACCTGCGTTTCCATTTGGCACAGTTCATTTAGCACGGATGGGTCTACATCAGAAAAATATGTAAAGTAGCCGAAACAGATTTTAAACTCTTTCAATGATCGAAAAACCCCGAGGCACTATAAATATTGCTGTGCAGTATTTGGAGTGCAGACATAATGACGTTAAATGATCCTAGCCTAAGTCATAACTCATAAAACTGCATCACAGTCATAGTGAAGACGTATTTAAATGAAATCTTAATCAGTGTACAAAATAGTTATCGGATAAAGAATATTAACTTTCGGATCGTAACAAGTAAAAATCGAATTTCGAGTCTCTTCACTTAAACACTTTCTCAAATGTCAACCAACCAACCTAAGAAGTTGCATACGTGAGTACCTTAGAAAACAGAAACAAAAGTTACATAGAAATTACGGCCTTCACGATATCTGGCCAATATCAAAAGCAACAGGTCCCCGAAAGTCCAACGTTTCGCTCAACATGTAGGAATTCTTATTTTATACAGGCGATAAGAAATTCGAAATAAAATAGTTGATTCGATAGAAGTTTCTTAGGAAATCTGATTTGGGGAGCAGCGAATATTTGAGAAACACTAGCACACTCTTCACTCAACGTCGAATTCCGTTGCACACTTTAGGAAATACGAAGAACAGCAGCAGACACACTTTTCGATCTCTCAATAGGTTTAAAGTCAGGAAATAATAGCAATGATATTAACACTGATCGATGGTCATTCGAAAGCGCGGAACATTAGCAAAAAGCAAAAAGCAAACATCATGGAAACTCATTCAAAAGTAAAAGTACTAAATCTTTTATGATTTGACTGTGATAATAATAATGACAAAATGAGAAGGTGTAAACAAATTAACGTATATAGAGTATTTAAATGTATGTAAATACAATGCCGCCTAAATAGGCTAAGCAAATGTAATATTAACCTAGGTGCGAAATAAATGATGGCTCCAAAAAAAAAAAAATAATAAACGCAAACAATCCAGCAAATCAGTTTGTGGAGAATGTAGAGAATGTTGTTTAAGTAGCGGCAATGAGAACGAAAATACATTGCGCAGAGAAACAAGTTTTACTTATACATATTAGCAAAATATTTAAATAAAATTTTAGAAAACCAAATCCCTTTCTGAGTGCAAATGAACCGCAAATAAATGAAAGTCCTAATTGAAGTAAACCAATAAAAGCAAAATGAAGTCAACGATATTTAGTTATGCTCTATTTACAAAGTATAATCAATTAAAGTTTTTTAAAAATCAAGTAGCAAAGCAAACGATTTTATAGATTTATTCATTTAGCATTTGAAAATCGCAATGGGAAAAGATCACACATAACCACGGTAAAAAGTAGGTTTTCTTTATTTCTCAATTTCATTTTCTGAGGTATAGATTTGAAAAAACCAAAAAACATGGAAAAGTAACAGAAAATAGTCTAGCGAAATCTTTAAACAATTAAATCAAAAGGTATCCCTACAATAAGATTCTTTAACGTAGCTCATTCAAGTTTTAACAAATCAAAAAACATAATTTTTGCAATTAAACAAAGCGATAAGAAAACTTGTACAATTGCGAACGAAAAGTATGCAAAAAGTTACTCCTCTCTACATACATATATATACATAGCTATATAACCCCCAAGTGGATCATACTCGAACAAAAAATGAAGATTATAATGCAGATTGCGACTAAAACTTTACGGAAGTGGCGAACTAAGGCCAACAATAAAATGAAAGCTAAGCTAGGTAGGCGATCGATCGATGGTACAGTACAGTACAGTACAGTACGGAACATGCATGTATATCGAATGTAATGGTTATGTTATGTAATGCGTCCGGCGCATCTGTATGTATGTAATAGTATTTATAGTAAAATTTGTTGAATACATATATACACACACGCAGACACAACCACAGAGAAACACTCCAACCAGGAAAGCCAATAAGTGCATACTACATACACAGAAACATTATAAGATCCGCATCCAGGATGGAAAAGAAACTTAGAAATGCAAAGTTAGGACGGTACATAAATGAATTACGTGAATTACACATTACACATTTAAGAACGATTATATAAAAATGACAAAACTAATAAAAATTATATTATAATTCAATGAAGTTTTACTTCGATTTGGTGTGCGGGTAAAGAAAACTTTTTATTATAAAGAATAAATGCAGTAAGAATGTGTTAAACAATTGGTATTTTTTAAGTTTGATTATTTTTTGGCAAATTCTGGTGGACAATCCGGCTGTTTGCTGGGATGAGTGGCTTTAAAAGCCTCGAGTTGTTGTAACTTCTGATCTAAGCGGAGTATAGTTGCGTATGGGGTCAGGTCAGCTTTGTATCTATAAAATAAAGTCAAATATTTAAAGTGTTTCGGGTAAATCCATAGTTACCTTCTGGCATTGCGAACTTGTGGCACGAGGCAAATATCAGCCATGGTGAGCTCATCTCCCACACAAAACTTGCCCGCTGATTGGGAAAGCACCTTTTCTAGACCTTGAAATCCCCGAGATATCCAATGCTGGGCCCACTTGAGACTCTGATCCTTGCCAATGTGATCTAGGACTGCGCTATTCTGCAGTGGCTGAATGCCGGAGCAAATAAGTTCCACAATTTCCCGAACCTTAGCCCGTTTTACTGGATCCTGGGGCAGGAGAGCTGGCTGGGGTCGAGTTTCCTCCAGATAGTGCATTATTGCCACCGAGTCGCACAATGTATGGCCGTCTATTGGCATATGAATGTAATATATACTTGGTACTACCATAATTACTTACCAATCTTTAACGAAGGTACCTTTTGCATGGGATTTACTTTCGTATATTCCTCTGTATAGGCATGTTGGTCGACTGTCCTGAGCAACGAAGTGGGTTTTATTTCGTACTCTATCTCCTTGATTGCCAGTGCTACGCGAACTCGCCAAGAACACGAACTAGGCCAATAAGAATACAGTACAGGCTTCGAGTTTGTAGACATATTGCGAACAAAGGATTGTAACCCAAAAGACCTGAATAATGGTGCAAAATAAATGGCTTTGTGGGCCATTTGCCTAACTGCAGCTTTATTTTGGTTGAAAAAAATGTAATCTTCTTTCCTTTAAAAAAGCAATTAATAAGTCAGCTGAAAAAACCTGTTTACTTGCTAGTTGATAACGATTCAATTGCCCCAGCTGTTTTGTTAAAAATTTTTTAATAGAACTATCGATTAAAGGCTTTTATTTATAAGGAGCCTCCAAAAGTAGGCTACACTTTTCTGTAAAATGTATGTAGAAAGCTTTTAATTGTAGGTGTTGTATCTTTATAATAAAATAAATCTTAAAAATGTTTTAACCTGCAATCATTAAAATTATTTTGGAAAAAAACTATTATTTAATAGTTGACAAAGTCAGGTTGGTAGAAAGTAGTTTTTCTTTGGGTTTAGTTAAATTCACATTCATATTGTTCCCTCCCTTTTCCCAAGAACACTTTCAATTTAGTTTGAAGTTTATTTATTTATAGTATTTGGAACTGTTACAATATTTCGGAAATTATGCATATTAGTTGGTTTGTATTCAATTTGGTATTCGTTTGGAATGCGAAAATGCGCATCCTGTCCTATATATAGTGGTATGATGTGACCATCGGCGTTCGTCCTCCGATTCGCGCATTGTACTGTCATGCAGGATAGTAAGTAGTTACTTGGCATCGGCAGGCTTACATCTACTCGTACAGGGGTTGTGAAGAGGCTCTCACGATCCAATTTACATCAACTTGCTAATAAAATTACTGTGCACTTAATTGGTTGGCTTTGTCATTCGTCTATGTGCATTGATTGGAGAGAAATACATGGTTATTAGTTATGCTTTCGTGGTTTCTAAGAGGCATTGCGATATTAGAACCATCAATCGAAGCTGTTTGCTTAGTTCTTGTAAGTTACTTAGGATTTATTCGATTTAGTGTATAGTTTGTATGCTTGTTTAGTTTACTTATTGGTTGACTGACGTTTTGTACTTTGTGAACGATTTGTTTAGCATTTGCCAACTTTGACATGAAGTACTTATACATACATCAAATATATTTGTAAATCTTCGATAGTGTTTGGTTTTGTTTCTAAATCCCTGAATTGAATTTTGCCTTTCGTCATGAGTTTTCCTTGAATTTGTTATGTTTTGTTATCCTAAATAAAATGCATAAAAATAAGTTACATTTAATATATATGAGTTCATCTTTTAGATCATGTTCACAATGACAAACTAGGGAAATCTGAAAAATTTATTATAAGTTTTCGTTCCGTTTCTGAGAATTTTGCATTTGAATTTCGTGTTGGAATTTCGTTTTGTTATAGATAGTATTTTTATGCATTTATGCATATTTAAATGCTGTTAGCAATTTCTTAAATCACATCCGACTGTTTCTGCTTAATGGAGTCCTCGCCATCCTTTCAATCCTTCTTTCCTATCCCTTCGCCCACCGATCAGATTTAAGTTCTTAGTTTGTCCTGTGCCTGGCTTACGAACTGCAATTCACTTCTTCGTCTTCCGGCGCTTTGCAGTTGGCGTCGCAAAATTCTATTTGTTGGGCAGCTCCGGCGGACAGTCCGGTTGATTGGAGGGGTGGGCCGCCCGGAAGGCGGGGTTGCTCTCCAGTTCGCGGTCGATGCGTAGTATGATGGGGTAGGGGCGCAAGTCCACGTGGAATCTGCAAGACATAGTTGAATTAAATTATTCCAAGAACAAGGCAAAAGGGGAACCTCTAATGGGTGTCAATCGTTCTGTAACTGGTGCCCTAATTACAAGTCAGTTTTGTAGCACTGGGATAGTTCAATAATGAACAAATTAGAAATAAGCTAATAAGTCAATTTAAATAAAGCACAATATTAAGCTTTAAGTTTATCTGTTTTATGTTAACATCTACTTGACTATCTTTTTAGTTTTCAAATATCAAAATAGATTCATCATTGAGCTCAAGAAGCTTTAGCTTTTGAGTAACTATCTAATACTAAAATGATATTAGTTAACTCTCATAAGTTTTATTGCTGTCTTATAAAACTCTTCGGATTAGTATATTAATACTTTTTAATTTGTTTAATACTTTATAGTACCATTTATCCAGTCAATTGTTACTTTAACCATACTCACCTTCGGGCGTTGAACACCTGAGGTACGAGGCAGCAGTCGGCCATGGAGATCTCGTCGCCCACGCAGTACTTCCCTGCGGAGGTGGACAGTGCCTTCTCCACCGCCCGGAAGCCACGTGTGATCCAGTGCTGGGCCCACTCCTTCTTCTTCTCCTCGCCCACGTGGATGAGCACGATGAGGTTCTGCAGCGGCTGGATGCCCGAGCAGATGATCTCGACGATCTCGCGCACCTTGGCCCGCTTGTGGACGTCCTGCGGGAGGAGGGGTCGCTGGGGACGGGTCTCCTCCAGGTAGTGCATTATGGCCACCGACTCGATGAGGGTGTGTCCATCTGGGTCAAGTAAATGGTCAAGTAAAGAGGTTTTTTTTAGAGAACCCAAGCACACTCACCAATCTGCAGGGCAGGGACCTGCTCCATGGGATTCACCTCGCGGTACTCATTGCAGTGCTGCTCGCCGCCGGATTTGATCAGGCTGATCGGCTTGATGTCATAGGGAATCTCCTTCAGGTTCATCGCAATGCGCACGCGCCAGGAGCACGAGCTGCGCCAATACGAGTAGAGTATTGGCTGTGCGTCGGAGGAGGAAACAATAAGGGGACTATGATTAGAAGACATTTTAGCACAACTGGCCAGCGCCGAATGGCGTGACGGGCCCACCAGCTCTATTACGAAATCTATTTATTCTAATTTGGAGAGGCACATATATCGCAGAACAGGTTGCCGCCGCTGATAACGAGTTGGGTGGAGGCACAACAAGCGGCTGACAAAGTCTCGGCTAGTCAAACTGGTTTAATCATTTGCATTTAGCGCTGTTTTTTGTTTGCCTTCCCGATAAAGTAGAGCTCTCAATTACGCACTTATCGCTTTCTATTCACAGATAACACAGATTTTCTCACTGGTTTTCGACTTCGGATCGCAGATATACCCACATGATTCATGGTGTCCAGACAGGAGCAACGCCAGCGACAGACTGGCAAAAAGCACGGCGGCAAGTTCGTCTTGCACCAAAAATAGCGCCCGACAACAGCTGCAGAGCAACAGTGAAGAGCTTCGGGGGGAGAGTGGGGCAGCGGAGGACCCTGTTCTGTTCTATAGGTGGTATACCCAATGGCCGCCGACGAGGACGAGCCCTAAAATGATATACACACAGCTGGCTGTTCCGGCCTGGCCAATCAACCCAGCAGAGCCTATCGACGTGTGTGCCACCCACACGGCATAATGAGTTTCCCTAAAAGTTCAATGAACCCATGGGAAAGTGAGGACGAGGAGGACCGAGTTCCGAGTTGCGAGATCCGAGCTGCCCCGTTTCGAGTGCCGAGCTCCCGAGTCCCGAACTGTGTCGCACCCCAAGGTCGGCTAGGGGCATTAACCTTAATCAAGTTGTCGTTGTCGTGGTCGTCGTCCTGAGTCCGCAGCGCGAAGGCAGCGCCAAGGACACAGGACCCCTGCTCAAGAGAAAATTGGCTCAGAAGTTTCGCCAGAGGGTGTGCTTTTTTAGGGGTTGTTCGTTGAGTTGGAGTTTGAGTCAAAAGCCTAGAGCAGGGTTGTCAGGTCACTGGCACAATAAGGCATTGTGTGGTGTGTGTTAAGGGCTACCTCAAGAGATAAGTTTCTTCACAGGTCAAAAATAATTTATTTACATTTTAGTTTACAAACTAATTGGGATATAATCTTTTTGTGGCTTTAGGTAAATAATTAAAGAAACAATTAACATAATTATAGCCCTATGACAAAAAAAGAGATTGAGATTCTAATCGTTGGATCTCAGAATATGTCAAGATTTAAATAAGAACATAACATATGTATGTTTATGATTATACTTCACATGTCAAGCTATATGAGTTCTGACTATGTTTTTTATTACCTAACTAATTTAAATCCAAGCTATATCCTTATAGGACTTCCTAGAAATTCTGTAACTTTTTTGTTTGCGAACTTTTCGCCGCCTGACAACCCTGGTGGCCAAACTTTAGCAGTGTGTACGCGAGGGAGGAAAGCTTGTCGCTGCGCGCAGAATCTAATTGCAGAAACGCTCGTGGGGATGAGTGCGTCCCAGACCGAAACTGAAGTCAGAGATTGCTGGCCGCGTGGTATGAGTGATGTTGCGGGAATGGATTTTTGCCAAATGCCAAACTAGGCGCCAATGACGCTGGATGGGATTTACTTACTTTTGCTATGGCCGATAAGGACATAGCGTTGTGGTGGTACTTTGAGTAGTTAATTTTGAAGCCGTTCAGTGCAGACGCACAACCCCGATGTAGAGTAAAAAAGAGTAACGATCCGAGCCGGTTATCGGAAAGCGGCAATTACTCCAAGGATATTCTTGCGTTTATATATTTCACTAATCACCATCCACTGATTGCCAGGAATATTTGGCTTATCCTTCCGCACAGTTATGTTTTTGTTTGCAGCCGCTTAAATGCACTCAAGACCTCAAACTGAAACCGCTTGGGCAAGCGCTAAAGCAAAGGATAGCGACAGGATATGAAGCCAGGACGCAACTGAACACACTGAACTAAATAAACGAGTGCGAAAGCGAAAGCAAAAGCGAACGCAAAAAGGACAATGACAAACGCCAACAACAATGCCATTTTGAGTGTGTGTGTGAGGGGAAGGACGAATCCGAAAGGAAGAGAGAAAAACAGAGAGAGGAGAGAGCAGTGCAGCGGGAAAAAAGGAGAGCCCTACGAAAAAGCTTTGGGGGTCGTGTCTCAGCTAAACTTAAAAGGGATTAGAGTGGCAGAAAGGATTAAATACTTGTGGTACAGTAAACACCCACAATACGCGAGCACATTCAATAAATTAAGAATGCCATTCGATTGGAAATTTTATAACAAATTCAACGAGGTATGGGATTCCATCGTGCGACCAAGGTTTTGATCAAAAAACCACAATAAAAGTTGATTTTTCCGGATCCTCCGGATTTCGCCATTTTTCGTAAGGGGTTAGTTCATCTTTTTTGGCGAAAAATGGACCAAAATGAAATTTTTAGCTGTGAGTGCCATTCAATTGGAAATTTTATTACGAATTCAACGAGGTATGGCATTCCATCGTGCGACCATTATTTCCCAAGGTTTTGATCAAAAAACCACAATAAAAGTGGATTTTTCCGGATCCTCCGGATTTCGCCATTTTTCGTAAGGGGTTAGCTCATCTTTTTTGGCGAAAAATCGACCAAAATGAAATTTTTTAGCTGTGAATGCCATTCAATTGGAAATTTTATAACGAATTCAACGAGGTATGGCATTCCATCGTGCGACCATTATTTCCCAAGGTTTTGATCAAAAAACCGAAATAAAAATTAATTTTTCTGAGTTTTAAGTACCAGGCCAACAGAAAGCTCAAAAAGTGACTGGGTATCTAAGCAAGTTGCGACTGATCAGCTGTTCTGTTCATAATGGCTGTCCTTTTCATAATGGCTGTCCTGATAATAATGGCGGACACCATTGGTCGACCAATGAGTACCCAGCTTGCAGAATACTTTAAAACAGCCGTTAGTTTTGTTTAAGCACACAAGGGCTTAGTCAGCCAGAGCAGGGGTTTGGGGGCCAAAAGCCCCCAAATCGCGATTTTAATCCCCCATGGAGAAATTCTGACAACGCCTTTGCTAAACGCAGAAATCTGAAATTTGGATACTTACTAAGGATTATGTTGGCCTGGTGATTGAAATCAAAAAATCTGCTTTGGCTTGTCAAATTGGACCGACAAAATCCTATTTTTCCCATGCAAACTAGGCAATTTTTGATTTTGAAGTACTAGGGGAACAGAAAGCTAAGCAAGTGACCAGAATATTAGTATATGTCGACAGATCAACTGTTATTTTTATAATGGCTGCCATACCATGTAATCCTATTGGTCGACCAATAGGAAGCAAGTTCTCCGGAAGGATACCGTTAGCTTGACACTAAGCTGAAACTGGAGATGCGCAAACGGCTTGTTTCTTTGTTCGAGTTATTATGGCATTTTTACGTTGATAATTATTTTGATTATTATTGGTTGGTATTTAGAATCGACCAAAACTCTTACAAAATACCTTTTTTGTATTTAAACCCTGGTCAAAATTTGGCTCTATGTATATCCCCAATCTAAACAAGTCAGTTCCCCACTTACCCATTTTTATACCTTCCTTGAAAATAATTAAAACAACTTCTCATTAGTTACGACCACCACTTTATTTTCGTTTTGTGTTTTGTAAGTTTAGTTCATTTTCATTAAGTTTGCTCAAATCATGTTCGATTAAATTACAAGTGCTTAAACCTAAAAGTATGTATGTACGTATGTATGGACTAAAATAGTTAACAAAGTTTGGCAATCAGTTACAGTTAGTCAAAACGAGTTCAAAAACCATTGCGCATGTACAACCAAAACAACAACAGGAAATTGAATAAGTTATATAACATTTAATTTTTTTGGTTTATCAGTATTCGTTTTTCGTAATATTCTGACCCAGTTTAGGCCAGTTACGATTAGTAGAAATGCAACAATGTGTAAAGCGGCCTAAAATAACCGCCACAACCAATAGAATATCACACCAAAAATGGCAGAGTACAACGGATCCAACATAGATTGTAATCAATGAGTGTGGAGTGTCGATTGAGGAGTGTAGAGTGTCAATGAGGAGAAAACGTGTTTCGAGGGACGCGGACCTAACTAGCTTGGTAGGATGCGTAGGGACGGACTCCAGGATTCCAGGACTCCATCCCGCCGTGAGGTTCGTGCCTGTACAGTGTGCTCTCGCGGGTGTCCGGGGCGTGGGCTTTGGGTACAACATTCATAAAGTTTATCTACCTCGGCGCTACCTAAGTTGTCGTTGTCGTTTTGCTAGCTAACAAAAGTAACTGTGTATATATATGTATAAAATTACCAACAAATTCATAAATTATTGTTGTAATACGTTTAGAAAATAGTGTCCATATATCATCATGCCGTCTTCACTCTTAACCTAATGCGTTTTGAAGAATTGACTACTATTAAATGGCAAAAGTGTGCCACAGTTTCTCCTTCCACTTATCTCGTTTTTTTCGGTTTTTGTAGAGTTTACTTGTAATTACATACACTTCACATACACATGCAATACACAATAATCATTGTAATTGTAATTACGTTAAATGTAACTGGTAACATCATGCTAAATACATTATTTCTCCATTATAGACAGTTTCCCCTTCTCAGTATGCCAAGGTTCCTGAGAACCCTTAATCCCCTTCTGTCTCCTTCCATTACATTTATCAGAGATTTGACTTCTAGCAAATACGTAATTTTTTAAAAATTATTTGGAGGGAATATTCATGATTTTTCTTTTAAATATCGCTTACATTGATCATTTCTTATCAAAGTGTGTGATGTTCAGAAAATATTTCGTTTATCCATTGCATCGTTTGTGAGATTGTAAGTCTGGTAAAAACAATGAATGATGTTAAACGAAGGAGACGTGTCTGTGTTCGTTGAAAGAAATGCATTATATGTGACGTTATTATTGAATATTATTAGGTACCAAAAAGTGTAAAGCAAGATCGAAGTAATACTGCGTTTAAATAAAAGCATGTAAAATTGTTTAAATCTATTTTTGATCATCAGTTTACAACCATGAAAACATTTACTCTTATTATGTACATATATAGATGTACCATAAAATATTCGTTCATATCAGAATATTAATATTAGCACTGTATAAATACATTTATATATTTTTTAATGCCGTATTCGTGTGTAGGTGTCTGCGAGTTAAATAGGTATTACATGCTAAGTACAATTTACGATCAACAAGAGGTTACAGCATCTCAACTAAATGCCATAAAGTAACAGTTTGCTTCTTTATAAAAGTGTTTCTTTGCATATTACAGTTAAAACTTACATCGTAGATTTGTGTAGTTCTTTGTATGTATATGGTACTTAATCATAGCAGGGCCGATCCGCCCGATTTGTATTCGACCGTTTCCGTTTCCGTTTTCGGAAAGGAAATCGGGCATTTCGATAATACTGAGCGGTAAAGTTTGTCTCGCAATACATCGCGTCCTTAGGTAAGATCGCGATCGATCGTTGTTCGGCACCGAAACGAAGGTTTTATGGAACGCGTCAAAGTTATATCTCATAATTTCGTATTGTTTTATTACTCGTCAGTCTAAATACTCTGAGATTCCGCATGAAAGCAAAGATTCGAAAGAGGTGCCTCACAGAAGATCCTGTAAATACTACGATGACGCTTAAAATGACCTCTTACTTGGCTAAACAGGAATGCAAACATGCACAGATGCACACGGAGGTGTACGGACTATGTATACATATATATATATTTTTGAATGGATTTCTCAATTCGGTTTAAATAAAATTGATATGTCTAATAGCTATTATCAATCGTTTTCAATTTCAAAAGGTTTTGTATTGTATTTCGAAGTAATTCTGTTGCGTTTTCTAATTTTAATATTCGGTTCTCGTTCGTTCGGTATGACATTTATGGTAGTATGATTTACAAAATATGGCAAACAGATGCTGAGAAGAAGTAAACCACTCATGCAACTATATAGTGTCTTTGAATTAGAATCTAAATTGTATATACTGATGATTCGAGTGAATTCGACGTTTGAGCTAGAATTAGTTTGGCTTTTGAGGAAGCTGGAGCCACGTGGGCCGCCATCTATATACAGGTTACTTTTAAATACGTATTTGTATTGCATAAATACAGTTTATCTTTACATTCGCTTAATGAACAATCACAACGCAGAGTATTCGAATAAAGTGAGTGAGGCGGAACCGCTGCCGCTGAGATTTTGCAGATGATTCCGGAAATAATCGCTTGGAAACATAGAGGAAGTAGCACTCAATGTCACAGATTGTCCTTTACTATTTTCGGCAATGGTTTAACTAGGAAAATAAAAAGGCAAGACGATCGTGTGAAAAATGAAACAGTTGAAATCATTTAATTGGTAAACGATAAACATTTTGGCACAGTAAATGAAACTTAAAATAAAACATAAATAAATTAGGTGATATATCTACCGCATTTGACTAGACGTTCGAGCAGTTGCTTAACTTTACATCTATCCTTTCTTTGTCTTTAGGAAACTTTTTCAAAAGCAACAAAGTGCACACACATGTCAACTTAAGCTAGCGTTACACTCTAGATTTGAACACTTACTTAAGGATAAACACTCATTTGTGGATACTTTATTTAATAATACTTAAGACTTACGCTTGAAGGCATTTGAGCATAGAACAGAATCGAACAGAATAGATGGACCAACTCAGGCGGAAACGGAAATGGAAATGGAAGCGGAAACGGAAGACTTCTGAGGAGAAAATGCACACAACAAAGGATGACCATTACAGATTGAAAGGGGATGTAGGTATTCGGTTTTGTATTTGTACGCGAGAAAGTCTTTAAACGGCTTTGAAGGCCCACAACAAACAGTTACTGAAGGTGCTTTATGGTGGGCTGCTGTAGCTGTATCGGTTTTTTATGTATATCTGCTTACGCTTATTGTATATAACACCAAAAAATATGCAAGAATTATGTCGTACATCAACTTAATCTATGACTATTGTATGCCTACTAATGCTATTGCGAACACAAGGCCAGAAAAATGAATAGTGGAGTGACAGACCCCGTCTCTGAATGGTTACTCCAGTTTCGAGGTGGTTTGTATATCGCTCTTTCTATTTACAGCACCTGATTAGAAAAAGTGACGCACACAACTGGCGAGTACAACCATAAGAATTGCTAATAGTTCCCATCTTCCAAATTTCTGTCCGAATCTATGGGTTTTGGTGAATGGAAAGGGGCGGAAGGTATTAGACTAAACGTGAGTATTTCATTTGGTTTTGCTTTGGTTTTGGTTTTGGTTTTGGTTTACATTAAACTAGATTAATTTACGCCATTGTCAATAACATACCACCCGGCGGCATTTGCCTCAGAAATGTTGAATCAATTGATCAATTTGTTGTAGTACATTAGCTCACTGTCCAAATGGAAAACGTGTGATTCTTGTTGTTGTTCAAATTACTGGCAGATTTACTGTTGTACCATTTAATTTAATATTATAATAATAATAATATAATAACTATGTATACCCTAGGCCTATATAAAAATGGCACTGTGAGTGTATCTGTGTGTGTGTGTGTGTTCTTAGTGGGGTTCAAAGTTCAAAGTTCGGAGTTCAAACCCTCTGTTTTTCCTTTGTATTTGTGGGTGTGGGCAGGGGCAGGGGATCTATAATTATAAATAGATTAATGTCTTTTATGCGTTTTGGAGAAATTTGAAAGACATCCTTTCTTATCGGTTAATTTGCTAGACTCTTATGTACAGTGTCTCTTACAACCTACATCTTTGCGTTAAAAGTAAAGTTAAAACTTTTCTCAACTTCCATTTACATTGGTGTGCATTGAATTTTGTTCACGTTTAGCTAAAATCGTTTTTGATCTCACTCAATATCACTTGATTTCACTAGATTTTCTCTTGGGTTTTCGGTATCTAAGCCATAGTTCAATAGTTTAGGTTCGTAGGTAGGTAAGTACAATCTAAGTAAAACTTCAACTACTCGGAGTTGCTGACTTGCGTCGTTAAAACTAGAACAACAATCATATATCGCATACGTCGTACACCTAGGCATGTAATTATATCAAGTATGTATATATAGAGATTCTCTTACGTCCTACACATTTATCATTTATCATTTATCGCCCTAGTAAAGTATCAGTGTAGTGTGTTGCAACTATGTACGAGTATTTGAGTAGAAAAACTTGTAGTTAACAGTAATTATGCACTAGTGTTTATCATAGATCGGGATTTCGCCTTAGCTTTAGCCATATTTGTAGTATAGTTTTAGAGTACATCTACAGTCGAGTCGAGCAGAATAAACGCCTACTATAAAAAACGGTAGGTATACACTTACATATTCGTATTTCGTATTATACTAGTACTTCAACATAAATATTGCACTTGCCTACATTAGTCAATAACAATTCAATTTGAACTTGTACCAATCCTTGGCTAGACTTATAACCTAGTGCGAGTCGCAGTGTCTTCTACTTAGGGGATAGATATAGAAGTGATTGAGAGAGTGGGGTAGAGAGATAGATTTAGATTTAGAGATAGACCTAGTGAAGAAATGCCTTTAACTACTACGTACACGTGACATTGATTTTTAGACTCAAATTCGTCTAAGCATAAATTCTAACAGTGGTAAACAATGCTTGCTGCTTGCTTAATGCGATTGTCAATCGATTTTTGTTTGTTTGCTATGTTCGCCTTAATAATTCCTTGTCCATTATCCTTTATCCTTTTCGATCGGTCCCTACGACGGGGTGGTGATGGTTGATGTGGCGATGGTGGTGGCCAATCCTATGCCAGCCTGGTGGTTCAGCTGGTGCTTTTGATCCGGCTCCTGGACGCGGTGCGTCTTCATGTGCGCACTGCGACTCTTCACCTTATTGAAGACCCTGGCAGGAGAAAAGAGCAGAAGACGGGCACCATGAGAACACATAGGTCTGGATCCTTTGATCGCGATAACTACCAGCTAAAATGCAGACTAGGCGGATTACTTGGACATTTAGATATAATGAAGCACATAGATCATATATTGTATAGCACATGCATAGGTAATAGCTGGGCAGAGAGTCATGCGGAGATACGAAATAGACTTAAAGTCTGGTCAGCTTTTCAATCTTTTCTTCACTTCTTCTTACTTAGCCTTGTGTGGAGGTAAAACTTGCTTTGTTGTTATAAATAACTATGGAAAATAGAGAGTTTATGTTTAGGAGTACATAAAAAAATTAAATAAATTAGTGATTAAGTACATATATATCTTGAAGAAAACGGAAGAGTTGAAGTCTGTTGTGCGCTGGAATGATAAAGCCGCTTTCGGGTTGTGCTTTTTTTCGGGGTTTGTAAATATGGTTTATTTAAACGCCGAAGGTCAGCTGTTCCAATTTACAAATGAAGGATTGAAGAGGTTGTTTTAGAGGTGATCTACCAGCCCGTTCTTTTAAATATGATATTTACAAAAGTTATTAAATGCAGAGGCATTTGGCGCTGTGAGTAGGATTATCGAAAACAAATTACAATAATACACGAAATTAGAGAACAGAGACCAAGTGAATGGAGTGTGAGAACGGAAGAGGGATATCGAAATGAACCAAAAGGTGAGATCGGATCCTACTTACCGAGTGTTTTGCCAGCGTGCTGTTCTGGTGGACTTGTGGAGCTGATATCAGTTACGGTTACGTCTATTTGCGAGTTGTGACTCTTCGCTTTAAAATTGCAATTGCGATTTATTGTTTGTATTCGTTATTTGATTTTGGTTTTGATTTGATTTGATTTGATATTGGGGTTTCGCATCATGGAACAATACAATACAACAACAATAACAACAGTTAATATCGCTTGACGAAAGTTCTAACTAAATGGCATAGAAGTCGGAAAGTGACATACGAATGAAACTTAGGATTCACAAGAGGTATCTACTAAAACTTAAGTTATAGAAAGAAGTAGAAAGAGGGTAGCGATAATGTAACTCAAAACGTACAAACGATGACTGAACCGAACTGAAGAATTCTTTGAAAACAATAGGTACAGTAAACTCAAGATCTAGAAACCAAGAACTCGTATACGGCATACGATACAGAAGTTATTTTACGGTACAACGTGCGTTTACGATCTCAACTCAATTACGGGCACTCAAATCGCTTGCGGATTTTCGAATTTTCATACGATTTCACGTTTTTTTTTTTTTTTGATTGTTGCAAATTGTTTTGGGGGAATCTTACTTGCCGCACACCTTGCAGGGGAACTCGCCCTCCTTGGCAATTGGTAAAGTAGTGTTGCCCATGCCCGATTCCGATTTGGGCGTGATTGAAAGCGATGATGTTGCTGTCGCTGCATTCGGATTGCTATTGCAGTTGCTGCCGTGCTGACTCATGTTGCCGGCGTGTGTTGCTGCTGCTGGTGTGGCATTGTTGCCGGGATTATTGCTGTTGCTGCTGGCGAGCGTTGCACATGCGTAGCTGCTGCTGTTGTTGGTGTTGCTAGTGCTGCTGCTGGTAGAGTTGGCACTATTTGCCGCGGCATGTTGCATGTGGCTGCTGCTGCTGCTGTTGGTGTTGCTGCTGGCACTGCGGCCATAAGCGTGTATGCGAACATGGCCGTGCAGCGCCGCTTTCGAACTGAAGCTCTATACATTTGGCGCAGGCGGGGATTGGTCAGATTTCGGTTTTATATTCGAGCGTTATGTACAGAAAGAAAGAAAACAGAAAGAGCCAGTGAGGTGAGGTGGGGCCTTGGCGTTCGGGTTGGGGATCTGCAATTCGTGCTCGGGTTTGGGGGAAATAGCATGCTGCTGCAGCTTAGAACCTAAGACTTACCGCTGAACAGTCTGCGATCTCGCACACATAGGGCTTCTCCACCGCCGGTGCAATCACCACCACGGGCTCCATCTTCAAATGCGACACCTTGTAGTCCACGCACAGCTTCTTCCAGAAGTAGTACATTTGCACACACTCCCCGGAGGACTTTGTCTGCAACTGCAAGAGGAATAAAACATTTTAAATTAATGTACTATATTATTAAACATCCTTTCTTAAATCTAAACTGGCCTAACTGTGAATTAATTGAAAGTATAGTCGAACTTCTATAACATCTGTCATTAAAGTAAGCTTTGTTTTTTTTTTTTTTGTTTAAGTCAATTTAGTTGTAACTTTATTATAATGGTTTTGTAAAGCTCCACACTAAGACTTACCTCACTGGCAATCTTGCCAAAGTCCTTGCCATGCTTCTCCAGTCCTCGCAGAAACTGCTCCAGCTCGTAGGCGGTCCACTTCATCTGGAAGGCGCCGGACTGGGTTTGGAGCAGGGTCAGGACCGCTGCCGCCGAGTTCCCCTTGGCCTTGAGCAGCGTGTGGAGCGCCACCTCCTCGGAATGACTGCCCATGGGCACGGCCGATGACTTGCTGAGATCAATGTATCGCATCAGGATCTTGTCGTCCTCCTGCACCTCGGGATTCCACATCAGCTCGGCGCCCAGTGCCTCCCGAGTGGCCTCCTCCATTGGCCTGCAGCTGGGTATCTGCGCCTGGTAGGTCGAGCCCAGATTGACCTTGGACTCGTCGGAGAAGTCCACCAGACCCACCGAATCCCCGAAGTCGTCGTCGAAGGCGTCGAACAGACCCTGACCCAGTTGCTTGCGCACATTGCAGTACAATCCCGTGCCCTTGCGATCCGGATTCAGGAGCGGTGCGGGTGTGTAGTGGGTGCGGGATGGCTTGCGCAGCTTGGAGCGATGCGGCGACAGGGTGTGGAACTTGGAGAACTTGTGCGTCTCCTGGGGCGCATTGGAGCGGAGGCGGCGCTTCAGAATGGAATTGGTTTGGTTCGACAGCGGCTGCAGATAGGCCACACTGGGAGGATTGGGCAGCGGTTTGCTGGCCACGGCTGTCGTGTTGCCGCAGGCGAACAGCAGGCCCGCCTCGATTTGGCCTTGTCCGGCATTCATTTGGCAATCGGTGGTGAGCAGGGCTTCGTTGCCCCCGGCGGCGGTGGCGTTGTGAGTGGAAGTGCTTGCCCCACCATAGAGCAGAGGTTGCAGCAGGCTGTTGAGGGGCTGCATCGCCATGCCACCCTGACCGTTGTCCATGTACTGGGCTTGGCTGGTGACCTGGGTGAATCCGTGGCCACCCACCAGGGGCAGCATAAAGTCACCCTGCTGCTGGCCCACCGCTGGCAGGGATTCCGTTTGGTTGAGTGGTTGCTGGGGCAGCAGCAATTGTTGTTGCTGTTGCTGCGGTTGCTCCTGCTGCGCTTGTGGCTGCTGCTGTTGCTCTTGTTGCTGCTGCTGCTGTTGCTGGTAGATGTTGCCGTTGCCCTGTTCCAGTGGCTGCTGCATGCTGGTGGCCTGCAGAGCCATCTGCTGCCGCTGCTGACCAAATTCCCGGGGCGAGGAGGAGAGCAAGGGGTCCTCCGAGTTGGGCATCATCTGGGATTGCAGTCCCAGACCGGGCAGATAGTAGAGATCGATGATGTTCTCCCCCTGCTGCTCACTGCTCAGCTGCAGCTGCATGTTCTCGTCGGGCAGGACTTCCCTCAGCACCTGCTTTACATCCTCCGCGGAGCCAATGCCGCTGGTGAAGAAGGACTCCGAGAGCGGGGAGGTGGCATTGCGCGAGTCGTTGAGGAACTCCTGATCCTCGTCCAGAAAGGAGAGATTCGTTTCCGCGAATTCCCGCAGATCGCACTCGGTGTCATCGTCCGTGCCATTCAGCAGATCCTCCACTTTGATGGAGGGATCGAAGCTGCTCTCCTCCAGCACCGACTTCAGCTTCAGGATCTTCTCGTTGTCGTGCTCGTTCAACTGCTCGATGGTGGCCTCGCCCTCGTCCGTCTTGAAGTAGATGTGCGAGAAGTCCGTCTTGTCTCCGAAGAAGGTGTTGCTGGCGTCCACAAACTGGGCGGCTGCATCATCGATGAACGGCGAGCTCTGGGCCATGTTCTCGTGACTCGACGGCGGCGTGGGATAGGCCAGAGGCGAGTGGAGGGGCGAGGCCAGGACTCCGCTTCCCCGCATGCTGGCTATCGCCTGGATCTGCGAACTGTTCTGCATGATCAGCTCCTTGGAATGGAATTGCTGGAAGGTGGGCAGCGGCGTGGTGTTTGTGCCGGATACGGATGCGTTGGCCTGCCCACTTTCCGGCTCCAACTTGACCAACTGGGTGTGGGCACTGTCGCCGGCCTCGCTCAGCAGGGCAAAGTCCTCGGAATGTTCGCTCTTAATCTGCGGCTCGTCCTCCTCGTCGTTGAGCAGCTCCATGGAGTCCACCGTCTGCAGCAGCATCTCCGTGTCCGAAACGTTGTACACCTCGGCCTCGTCGAAGAGATCGGTGCCATCGCTGGTGTAGGTCACTGTGTAGACTCCTCCTCCGCCGCTGGTGATCACACTGCCCGTTCCGCCGGCTCCATCTCCCGAGATCTCCTGATTGGGTGCGATGGTCAGGGAAAGCGGTGTGCCATCTGCCAGTTGGAGATTCCCCGAGGAGCAGCTGCCACTGCTGGTGATGTTGCTCTTAACCAAACTGCTCAAGCTGCTCAGCTTGCTCCGGGTGGACACCACCTGAACATCGGAGGGTATGATCACGGTGCGGTTGTTGTTGGTGATGATCTGCCGGCCAACCGTCTGCACGCCACTGCCACCAATGGTGGTCAACTCGGTGACGGCGCCCATTGCACTTGCAGTCGTTCCACTGGAGGTCATCATTATGCCAGCTCCCGATTGGCACTGGGATTGGGCCTTCTTGGAAGTCACCGCAATGCGAGTTCCCCTCTTCAGGAGCTCTATGAGAGTGGAGTCCTTGGGATCCGTGTTGGTGGCCGTGGAGATGCCGCTAATGGTACCTCCCGCCTTCAATGCAGTCAGAGCACTCATTGTCGTTGTGGTGGGCACATTGTTGGTGGTTATGGTGATCGTATTGGTGCCCGTGCCCAGATTGAGCGTCTTGGCCTGCTTCTGACCCCCGCTGAAGATCTCGATGCTCTGCGGCAGGCCAATCTGCTGGATGCTCAGTCCGTTGCTGCTCTTGATGGTGGTGGCCGCCGGCAGAACCGCTGTGGTGGTGCCCGTGCTGGTGGTCATCGTCTGGGTGTGACTGCTGGTGCTCGTCTTCGGGTTGAGGAAGCTCTCCAGGTCGCTGATCGACCGGCGCAGGGTGGTGGTGGTGCCACTGCTGTGTGGTGGCGCGGGAACCACAAAGGAGCCCTGAAAGAGATGTGATTGGAATGGTGTATTTAAAATAACAGGTCTTAAAATGGAATCCTTGGTCAATTAAGGGGTTACACCACTGTAGAATTTTCAAAAAAATGATTTTTTTTCTTAAAAAATAGTTTAACTATCCTAGAATGTGAAGGAAAACAATTACGCCAAAAAAAATTTTTGTTTTTAAATTTTCAATTGAAATTTTGACCACATCTTTAGAACGCAAATACGCAGAGAAACACGTACGGATTTTCCAATAAATAAATTACGATTGTTTTTGTCAAAACTTCGCCAAATTCACAAGAATCAATATTTTTAAAAATCCGTACGTGTTTCTTTAGCTATACTAATGTAGATTACGAGGATTATTTTTTTTTTTTTAAGTTCAAATTTACACCACTTATGCTGCGTGCCGCGGAGGCCTTCCCACGAAATACGTCTTAGAACGCCGCCATTTTGAATTTTTTTTTTATAAAAAAATGATTTTGTACACTTTAATACATTATTAACAACATCCCCAAGTTTCATTCATTTACTCCCCCTCCTTCTGGTCTAAAAAAAATCGCGCACAAAAACAAGGGTTACAGTGGTGTAACCCCTAAATAGAGCTCTGAAGGAGATTGGGTTTAACTGTCCACCCACCTTAGTCATGTCCTTGCGCTTGCTGATGATCTTCTCCTCGATGAGGGCGCGCACTCCGATGCTGGCCGTCTGGAGGGGCGGACCACTGGAGTCCTTCTTCTCGCTGCGCTTCGTTTCCGGATCCTTTTTGTAGTAGCCGCCATGCAGACGCATGTGCCCATTGAGGGCGGGTATGTTTTTGAACTTTCGGTGACAGAGATTGCACTCGACGGGCTTGTCGAGCTTGACGATGTTGAGCAGGTGGGGATTCATGTTGCCCACTATTTGGGGACTCAGCTCCTCCTCCTTGACCTCCACGGGCGAATTGGAGGAGGGAGCCGCCAGATCGGAGTTGTCCTCCACGGTGACGGTAACATTTTGGGCACTATTTAGCTGTGAAGGGGTTATGTAATTACTTGATTTTATATCCGATCTATTAAAAAAAAAAATATATATATATGTCGAGCTCTTACCAATTGCATGTTCCAGGTGCGCGGTCTGTTTTGCGATGGCGACGAGTTGGTGTTGATCTTGTAGGAGCTGACACTGGTGGGCGAGGAGACGGTGACCTGGGCACTCGTCTGCTTCGTCTGCTGCATGATCTTGCTGATGAGATCCAGCTGCTCGCGGGTCAGGCCCTCGCCCTCGAGACTCATGCCATCACTGAGTGTTATGGTGGGCGAACTGGCGGCCACCATCGAGTTGGATGGCGAAGGGGCCATCGAAATGGATCCGCATGCAGATCCAGATCCCGACATCGAACCCGCACCCGATCCCGCCGAGGAAAGCGATGAGCTGGCCGACGAGGCCGTGGAGGAGGCGTTCGACGAGGTGGAGGTGGTGGGCGAGAGCAGAGTCACGCCCGTCTTGATCGGCAGGTTCATGGCCTTGATCTGCTCCTCCGACAGGGCGATCCCAGTGGCCGCGTCCACCACCGAGCTGCCCGTGGAAATGTAGGTGCGGATGCAGGTGGCTCCGTCCGGGGAACTGGCATCCCCGCTGGCCGTGGCCGGCGAAAGACTGAGGGAACTGGTGGCTACGCCGGCACTGCTGCTGTTGCTCGTGCCGCTCGAGCTGGCGGTGGGCGAGAGGGAGTTGCTGGTGGTGGGCGTGGCTGCCCCGCCGGCGTGGTGATTCTCCGAATGACGCCGCAGGGAGCGGGCATCGCAGTAGGACTTGCCACAGCCATCCGCCTTACACTCGTAAGGCTTCTTGTTCCGATGAGTCATCATGTGTCCGTTTCTGAAGGATAAGAGGACATGGTTTAGTGGGCTGGTTCAGTGGCTCCAACAGATCATCAGATCACTGGTTAGTGCGCCTCATTTACTTACAAGTGATCTTGCCGCTTGAATGCCTTCGAGCAGAGCGCACAGATGTATTTCCGCTCGTCGCTGTGCGTCAGTTTGTGCTTGGCCAGCGCCGAGGCATTTCCAAAGATCTTGCAACAAATCTATAAAAAGTCCGAGAGAAGAACGTAGGAGAAGCGTAATTAGCGCTGGCTGTCGGCTGCCCTCTAGATAATTGAAAGCGCTGCGGCCGTCGCCGCATTCGCCGTTCGAACATTTTAATGAGCCACATTGCGTATACGTTATGTTGCCTTTTTTTTCGGCCACCACATACCGCATGCTAATTACGACCGACGAATTTCAAACCAAAAGCGGCCAAAAGCTAGGCCACATTCATTCCGTAAACTATCTGCAGGAACACGTGTGTGTGCTCGTTTGATTGCCTGCAGCAGGAGTGAAATTCCCCGATGCTGACCAAACATCTCCACATCCGCAGTATCGTAAAACGCGTCATAAAATGTGTTTTACCGCCGTCCCCTCCACTAGACACCCAAAAAAAAGAAGGACTTGAGGGCTTCGGCACTTTGAGCGGCTGTCAGTTTTATTGACAGACGTCGAGACGTGTTGAATGCCCCGGGCGAGAGCTGTTTCAAAAGTCAGCGAGTGAGTTTCTGATGGAAAATTTTCACATGGGGAAAAAGCGCTTCAAAATAAATAATCGCCTTTGGAAATGGAGAACTAGAAGAGGATCGGTTTTCTGTAGCTTGAAACTAATCGAATTCAGCTAAAATGTATCTTGAAATGAACCTAAGTCAGTCGTGTGGATATTTTCTTTCTCAATTAAATGTTTAGGCCTCAAAAGATTCGTTTAAATCGATCTCTCGGAAACAATAAAATATTGTCCTTTAATTTAAATCGTTGACTGAAAAAATTTTGATATGTTAGACAGTCAGTTAAAAGACAAATATATTTATTATATGTATATTATTATTATCATTTATATGATAAAGTTTTTAATCCAATTCTATACTGTTAAATATATTATATTTATTGATCGGTCAATAGAACTAAAATAAGTCGCAATTAACTAAACCCAATTATAATGTTTGCTTATCCCTTCTTATTTGATTTCCACTTTAATAATATAAAATTCAATAATACCTGTTAAGGTAATGTGCAGTTAAATAACTAAAAATTTTTGTAAAATACAAATTTAATATAATGTCCCAAATGTATATCCATTCAAAATTAGTTTCTTTAGAAAATTATGCTTTATCATACTTAATTTCCATAGCTGGGTATTAGGAACGACCTAGTTAAGAATATTTTGCTCGGTGCAACGAATATGTTGAAAGTCTGTTTTGGAAATGATTGCTAGCCTTTGATGGTCTTCCCACAATTCCCGAAATATCAATTCTCGCAACTGCCAACCCAAAGAAACTGGCCAACTAGACGGGTTCTACGCTCAATTAGCGCTGTGTGTAAACGCACCCGACTTCGGCCATAATATTAGTTCCAAGTGGCAGTTCGGGGGAATTAAATTGGCAGAAGAGGGGGCACCAGATGAGGGAGTGGGGCAATAGCACTTTCTGTGCGCGTTTCACCTGCCACTCGAACGAGACGACCTTAATGTCTGTTTATAAATATTGCACGACTGTCTGCACGACATGTTGGCTCAGAATGAGCGATAAACAAGCGATTAGGCCACGAATATTTGGGGATTTGGGTAAAGCCAGCTGACATTGAGGATGGTTTTTGAAAGGAAAAGCCCCTAAGAAACAGCGACTAATTAATGGCCAAATAGCCCTTTCAACGTTCTCATTTGTTCGATATAAAAAAAAGGAATATAAATCATAATATAATAGAATTTCCCACCTGACACTGCTGCGGTCCGTGACGAGTGGGTGAGGATAACTTGGGTCGATTTTTCCGCGGCGCCTCGACGCTGATGATACTGCTGATACCGCTCGCGGTACCGCTACCGCTTGTGACTGCCGCCGATGAACTCAATCCTCCGACGGGAACATGCCGCCCGGTGCCTTTGAAACTCAAACTGTGTCCACCGCCGCTGCTGCTGTTGCTGTCGTTGCTGTTGCTGCTGTTGCTGCCGTTGCTGCAGTTGCTGCTGCTGCTGTTGCTGCTGTTGCTGCCGACACTGATGCTGCTGCCGACGGAGGAGGCGGTACTGAAGTTGCTGCTGTTGCTGCAGTTGCTGTTGTTGTTGTGCTGGCTGAGTAAACTGGAGGCGCTGCTCGTGCTGCTGTTGCTCATAATCTGCGCCAATGTCGTGACATTGGTGACCGTGTTGCTGCAGCTGCTGCTGCGAATCAAGCAGTTCTTGATGTAGCTGGTGTTGCTCTTGCTGGTATTAATAGTACTCGTGGAGGTGGAGGTGCTGACCGACTGCACACTGCGCCTGGTTATCGTTATCTTATTGGGATTGTTCAGATGATTGCTGCTGGCCGACTTGGCCGAGCTATTGCTTGAAGTTGCTGCTGTGATTGAGTTGTTGTTCTTGAGAGCTGCAAGGCAAAAGGAAATTGGTTAGCGCACCTTGATAAGCGGAAATTTCGGATAATTCATGCAGTTTAGGTCATCTATAATTCTTGTATTGAAAGGTTAATAATCTGTGGTTAATAACCTTTGGCAACCCATTTTAATTTATAATAAGGAGTGACTGTTCTTTGTTATTTTGGATTATATTTTTAGAATCTCTTTTTTTGTATATAAAGAAAAACAATTGGTTGTCAAAGTGTGTCTCAAAACTAAAACGTTCCTGGTGGTTTGCAATATTTTAGCCATTTGGGCAGTAGGGAATATATAAATTATGCTTCGAAAGCTTTTAGGTAATTATTTTTTATGGCCCTCCAAATACTGGAAGTTTTTTTTGTAAATATTATCATTTTTAAATATGTTGAATTTAATTAATAAGATATTAAAATTTTAAAAAACTTGTTTGATTCCATTACAGATCTGGGAGTATTGCTGACACATTTTTTGTGACTTTCAACAATCTAGTTGAAATACAAAACTAATAGCCTTGTGGTTGGAAATAAGTGACTCTTAAGAATGCAGCGCACACTGTAGTTTACTTACAGGCTGTCTGAATGGTGCCCAAGACATCTGCCAACATTTCCGGATCCGGATAGCCAATGGTCAGCGCATTCTCTAGCGTCGACGCTGGCGCTCCTGAAGCGCCGTTCGGTGACGTCGTGGATGAGGCTGCTGTCTTCGCGGTATGTGCCTCCAGGGCGTTCGCATCCCGCAGTTGCAGAGTCACGGATCCTTCGCTTCCCACGGATGCGCTGCACATCAACACGCGCGGCGCGCTGCTGAGAGTCGTCAGTGGCAGGTGGATGCTCTTCGGTACCTGCGGAATGCAGATCGGCATCTCAATGGCTGATAATTCATCTGTGTCGCAGTCTGTGTGATGGTGTTGTTGTGATTTCGATTGTGATGGGTGGGGGGTGTTGTGGTGGGGAGACTCCCGAAATCGCTGCCAAAAGGCACGACAGCAATGGCTGTCAGGCGAGATTAGTCGAGATTATTGATAATTCACAGCAACTGTCGCCTAATGGACGACGCGTCGCATAATTAATTGAATTTAAATGCATTTCACTGTGAGTAGGACAAGTGGGGCTGCTGCGCCACGCCCCCTGAAACCACCGCCCCAACGGGCAGTAAGTACGGAAGCGCCGTCTGCCCCATTTCTCATGTCACTTAGAAAAATTAATACTACTTTGAAGTACTTCGTTTTTAACAATACTAGGTTTTCTCTATACACTCTTAAAAATAAATGTTTAAGAACCTTTTCTATTTGTTTTTTGTTTGAGAACATAATATTAAGAATTTATATTCTTAAATATTAAAAATAATAGCATTTAAAATTGTATTAGTTTTTGGGCTAGTATTTTTTGTAGGTTTAGTTTCAATATTAAAACTTCTTCTATTTCTTTTTTTTGTTGGAGAACATAATATTCGGAATTCATATTATTAAAGATTACAAAAATAACACTCGAAAATAATAGCATTTGAAATTGAAGCTAGAATTTTTTGTGAGTTTAGCTTCTATATTAGAACTTTATAATATTTGGAATTCATATTCTTAAATATTAAATATCAGTAATAGGATTTAAAATTTTTTTAGTTGTAGGACTAGTATTTTTTGTGAGTGCAGAAGCTCGTCGCATTTGGCACTCGCAGAACAATTGCGTATTTTAGTCAGTCATTTTTCGGCTCATATGCTTGGCAGCCACTCGACATATATTAATTTAAATGCCGTAAAAGTGCAACCATAAATTGGCCGTAGGGGGGAAATCGGGTCGCAGGGGGTCTGTTGTTAGATGGGGCAATTAATGCTTTATAAACCGCAGCCGATGCCCAATTAATGTGGCCTGCAGTTGCCCATAACCACAAAACAAATCGCGAATGAAAATAAATAAAACGGCAGAGCATAAATTCCCAAAAGTGCCTGCGACGCTGACCGCAATGGAAACAAAACAAGAACTCAGTGAGTAGTACGAAAAAAGCAGAACGAAGACACTGGACTGGCATAAATTCGTTTCGGACGCATAAAATTTCACGTAAAATAAATAAACAGCAATTTTATTATTGTTTAAGTTGTGGGCAAAAAAAACACGGCTAGCCAAATGAAAAAGTTCCCTCAATGAACTGAACTGGAAATGGAGCCACAAGTGGCACGCCCCCGCATTAATGTTCTCGGCAACACAAATTGTTTATTTAAATATGCCAGTGGGCTATGAGATATATATGGGCAGGGGCCATTCGAAGAAGTAAATTAGATTTATGTTTATCAATTGTTGTGATAACCTTGTCGCTGCTTTGAAATGCTTTGCATAATCAAAGGCGAAATGAGTTCTGGGAAAGGCCCAAGTTGCATGAAGATGAAGAAAAATAAATAGTCTTCCTTTAAAGGTGAATCTCCCTTCTCCCAATCAAATGGCCTCATAACTTATATTCACGTTAAATCAATTCAGGTATCAAGTAATTATGTGTTTGCTCTCTTGCACAAGCGAAAAGATTTATTAGAAAATCCCCATGTCTGGCTGGCATTTCTGTGGCAACTGAAAGTCGAGAGGTGCGATCGGGGTGAAGTATCCTGTTGCCCATCCTCCAGAGCATATTTTTACGGCGTGATTCACGTGTCAATCAAATGTCAATGTCACTCGGAAAAACCTACCGTAAAAAAGCTGGCGAAGAATGAATGAATGGCGGTGTTGCAGGAAAACTGCCAAAAATCATATTTCCCTTGCAGCCAGACTTCGACCAATTTTGATGGCCAGATTTGAATTTGGCAAGGTCCCATTCTGCCGATATGTTAATGATTTCGGTATGATGTCAGCGTAAAATTGAATATGCTGGGCGGCAATTTGTCATCGGACTTTTCTTTTCTCTTTTTCTCTTGCTTATTAGTAAAATGAGCTGAAACACATGTTTGTGCAAGGGCTGAAGAAAAGCCGCCGTCGTCATCATCAACAACAGATTCATCATCGGGTAACTCGGTCATATGGCCCCAAATCTGTCTGCCTTTCCGTGTTCTTCAATTTTCAATTTTGTTTATGATTAGGCCTTCAAAGGCACGGGTATCAGCTGGCGTACCACATGCCGTATGCGTAATATCAGAAGTTTGCTCATTTAAAAAATGGGATTTTAAACGGTTTATGACATTAACATTATTGTCAACGCAAATGTGTTAATTATGGAAATTTATGGATAGTACACCGGGAGGAAAGATTATAGAGTCTAATAAAATGTTCTTATTGTTTTATGTTGTCAATTGTTTTGTATTATATTTAATTTGGAATTTGGTATCTTTTAAATTTCTGTTTATATAATTTTTTAATTACGATACAAAATTACCCATTTTACCGAACAATTATGATTTTGTTGTTGGGTCTAAAAATAAGAAAATTGTCTCAGGCGACTAATTCTTTACTTTTTGACTAATTTGACAATAAATACTCAACTAATACTTTGAAACTTTGGAAACTTTGCCTTTGAGTAGTTAGCTTTATAAATATTTAATGGCTCCGAAATGAAAAATTGTTTGGATATGTCAGATACAGATTGCTTGAATGTGGATATTAACATTTATGGGAATGTGCCATAAATTATGTATTTCCACGATTGATTGCACACAATTGTGGCTGTTTTTTTTGTCGCCCATAATTGTTATTTCTGCTGGCGTTGATTTGCTTTTTTCACTATTTTTTTTTAGATGTCGATGTCGCGTACTTACCGTATTTATGGCAGCCATCGTCGCAATTGACGCCGTCGATGAGGTTCTTGTTGTTGTTGATGTTGTTGTTGGTGGTTGTACTGGTTGTTGTTGTTGTTGTAGTTGTGGTGGTAGTGGTGGTGGTGATGATGGGGATACAAAATCAAAAATCTGAAAAAAGTTATGTATGATTGAACATATTCGAATTCGTATCTGCTTCTCTTATTTTCTTTCGTTTCGTTTCGTTTTGGGTGACATAAAAACGTGAAGAGGAACCAAAGAGCAAACAAATGTCAAAATTTATGCATAAAAATGTGCGCATCATAAAACGAAGTGAAATCAAGAAATCAAGAAATCAAAACACATGCACATACAAAAAGGCGACACACTGGCACACACGCATCGGGAAAATCGCACATGAATACATGGTACACGATGCAAAACACAATGAAAAGTATGAGAAAAATCGCATCGGCTGGGGAAAACTTCTCGAGAGTGAAATTGGGAGGGGGCGGTGGACGAAAATGGGGGTTAGTCTTATTTGTTGGCTGAGCGATGTGATGACTGACTGACTGACTGACTGACTGACTGACTGATTGACTGGCTGATTGACCGACCCACCAGCTGATTGGTATTTTGGGGACTAGCCTGTCGGCAGGATTAGCGAACAAAAAATATGGCATTGAAAATAGGTTTTAGCATGGGATTTATTTGCGATTTTTCACTAATCCATAGGTATGCCATAAAAAATGTATTTGAGTTCATGATATACCTTAGCTCCCTCACATTTGTAAATAGTATTCATAATCTATACTAAACGCTTATATTTTTAACAATATTAAGAGACTTCTGATCGATTTAGCTTGAATAAAAACATTAACCTTTTAAAACATTTAAGTGGAACATTTTTGAACAAATGTATTAAATTTGTAAATTTGCCTCACATTTGTAAAAAATATTCATAATTTATACTCAACCCTTATATTTTTGACAATATCAAGATCGATTTACCTTGAATAAAACATTAACATTAACCTTTTAAAACATTTAATTGTGCAAATTTAAAAATGATTAAGAAAATTAGACTCCTGATTCTTGAACAAATGTATTAAATTTGTAAATTTTAAGGAAATGTTCGAGGGTTTCACCTATTTAGGAAAATACGAACTTTCTTTGTACTCTCCTTGCCTGAAAAGTTTTCTATTTCTTTATTGTGACATTTTCCTCTCGAAGACCCTTAGGGTAAAATATGTTCATCGATATATTCTGTGCTGCTGCACTTGCAACATTGAAAATTTCAATTATTCTATGCACTCGCTTCTTTTGCATTTCTGGCAAATTTTCCTCTATCGATACCGACGTCCTCTTCCATTTTTTTGCACCGATGTCGATGTCGTTGTCGTTGTCGTTGTCAGTGTCGTTGTCTTCGTGCTGTCTCACAACATTTTATTTTGGTACACAATGGTCTTTGTCTGTCAGAGTGCATGCTTATTTTTGTTTTTAGTTATTTAATTACAATTTTCTATAGTTTTATTTTTAATTTAATTCATGTTTGGCTTGCGTCCCACCCGTTTCGGCAACGCTTGGCGAAACATTCGCCAAAAATGCTACAAAAAGCTGTGCAAAAAGATTGGCAAAGATGACAAATCTTTATTGGGCATTCGACATCACTTGAATACTCTGCTGACATAGGGTTTTTTTAATGAGTATATATATTATGATAACAAATTTAAATGTAAGATGTCAGATCTTGAATTTAAATTCCTTATATTCGTTAAATATATAAATATAAATGTCAGTAATAAATCCCTTGCTTAACCAACTCATCAGTTTTGAGAGGACTGTAAATCATGTATATTTATTACACCTATTAGGCATTGTCTTTAATTTATTTGTCCGCCAGAAAAAAGCTCAAAAGGGCAAGATTACAGTCATGTCTTAAAATGAGTGACGAAAGCGTCTTATTCTTGGCGAAAATAGAGCATTTTGAAAACGATTGCGAAATCAGAAAACGAAACAGAGACAGAGGCACTAGGCGTCGTCAAAAGGCGCAGTTGGCCAAGGGAACTTTTCAGCTTCTAGGTATTCTGTATGGGAATCCAAGAGGGGGGGAGCCACACGATCTTACACAT